CTGTTCGGCCCCCGGAGTCCACCAACTTGATCTGTAAAAAACTTTGCCCACTGTCCAAAAAATCTTGGCGTAACCTTTGATTCAACCCTTAAATTCGACACACAAATCAACTCAGTTGTTAAAGGCTGCTTTTTCCAACTCCGGTCCTTAACTAAAGTAAACCTTTTTTATCCTTCCAAGATTCAGAAAAGCTTATTCATGCTTTATTACGTCCCGCCTTGACTACTGCAACTCCCTCTATATGGAGTCAGTCAGTCCTCCCTCTCACAGCTACAGTACGTCCAGAACGCTGCTGCAAGATTTTTAACAGGTACACACAAGCAAGAGCACATCACCCCTGTACTCGCCTCCCTTCACTGGCTCCCTGTAGATCTTAGAGTCCATTTTAAAATTCTATATAAGTCACTGCATGGTCTAGCCCCCCGTATCTAACAGAACTTGTAACCCCCTACACCCCATCACGCCACTTAGGTCCTCTGAACAGTCGCTCCTTGTAGTCCCTCGAGCTCAACGAAAACTCAGAGGTGACCGTGCCTTCTGAGTGGCTGGCCCCCGTCTGTGGAATCAACTGCCTCCCTCCATCAGACAAATCAACTCTTTAAATCCATTCAAATCAAAACTCAAAACTCACCTCTTTTCCCTGGCATTTAAAACAAGTTGAAACAGACCCCATATATTGAGCTTAGGTATGTATCTGTATGTATGCATGTGCATGTAGGTATGAGTGTATGTGTTTGTGATATGTATGTATACTACATGTATATATGTATGTGCATATATATATTTGTGTGTGTGTATTATGTATATGTATATGTGTTTATATATGTATGTATGTGCACATGTATAGATTAATGTTTTTATTTTTTTTCTTGCTTTTACACATTGCCTGTAAAGCACTTTGGTCAGGTGAAGCTGTTTTTAAATGTGCAATACAAATAAACTTGATTTGATTTGATTCTCACTGCTGATCAACACCTGAGTTTATTGCAGACTGTATATAAGAAGTGAACGTAACCTCTGCATTTCAAAAGTGAAGCCAATCACGGGAGTAACTTGAACCTGCATTCTTTCTAATGACCAGCAGGGGCAACTCCACTGGTGGCAAACAGAGAACTGGACTGTATGGAAGCAGTTAATAATGAACGAGCTCTGAGACAGAGAAAAGTTAAGATGACTAAGGACCCATGACTGACTGATTGTCTTTTCTTCATTTCATCTGAGGTGAGGTAGTTTGGGTTTTTCATTCAGATGATTTGTGTTTTATTGTTACGTTCAACGGGATGAGGGGAGAAACAATAAAATAAAACCAAGGAGGAATTAAGTGTAAGAATAAGATATGACTCCGTACAGACTCGACCATCTTCTCAGATTCCACCATCAGATGATTTGGGAGCTGACTGTGCCCTGGGAAGATCACATGGAGGAGGCTTACGAGAGGAAGCTGGCCAAATACCGGGAGCTGGTGGAGCAGTGTAGAGAGGGCGAGGCTGGCGGGCTCTTTGTGAGCCGATTGAAGTGGGCTGTCGGGGGTTTGCTGGGCGCTCTATCTGCAAAGCTCTGGCAGGTCTTGGTGTAACAGGAACTGTGAAGAGTAGGGCCACTCGGTGGCTTTGGATAAAGAGGGCGAGCCCGTCGATTGCTGCTGCTGGGATGCAATGCTGGACTTGATCAACCCTGGATGGGTCACCTGGGGGAGGGGGTCTGATGTTGAAAGACCTGAAACCCCAAATGACCTCAGGAACGTCACTAATGATGCATCCCAGCTCATCCTAGAGATGTATCTTACAAACTAATGTGAGGAAAAATAAGTGAGCAATAGATGATATGTGAGGCCTTGAAACTTAACATATCTCTAGATTTCAATACTGCTCAGTAAAACAGGAAATAAATCAGATCTTTAAATGTAATCTTTCCTTTAGTCCACAACACCTACTTATGGGAAGTCCCCCCCCATGCACTGTCCCTCACTTCAGATAAATACCTGTATAGGACTGTAAGAATAACAGAAATTAAACAGAACACTAAAAACTGTCTGAAAAGTCCACCACAAATAATGAAATGGAAAGAAACAATTAATGACGATTATAATATGGAGAGAATAACTCTTAGGAGAAGGAATTTAGGAAACGTCTTTGAGTCACGATGGAAGAAGTTAACAAACACAGATTTAATATCGGGGGGGGGGGGGGTATTTAATTGTGTTGTTTGGTCGATTAATTAAATAAACGTATAAACACAAAATAAAAACGTAGTATATCTCTAGATTTATACAGACTTGTTTCTGACTCTGACGTTGATCCTTTGATGACGTCAGTAATGTAAGTTAGTTTCTGCACTTTGTTTTATTTGGGCGGCTGTGGCTCAGTGGTAGAGTCGTTGTCTCCCAACAGGAAGGTCGGGGTTCAATCCCCAGCTCCTGCAGCCACATGTGCAATGTGTCCTTGGGTAAGACACTTAACCCCAAGTTACTCCTGCTGATGTATTGGACTAAGCTTCTATAATTTATATCCATCATTGTTTGTAAACCACAGATATCCTTTGAATTTTAAACTACTAAAGATATCAAATATTAATGTAGCAATGCCACAGGTTTGTTACTTCAATCCACCTTATTCATCTTTGTTGTACAGTATTTCTATTAGAATCATGTTGTTTATGCCCTCTAGTGGTCACAGTCAGTAACTACAACATTACTACTATCAAGTCAGATGAAATCACAGTGTGTTACTTCCGGTCCCTGTCGTCAAAATAAAACATTTTTAAGATGCGCTTATGATCGTTATGTTAACAAAAAAACAATCCGAGTTATTTAAGTTCACATTCGTTGGAACATAACCAGTCAATCTTCACTTTTCTGCTCGTACTAAAAACATTGATTGTATTTTTTTATCCAAACAAATCAAATCTGTGTCGGACAAGATGTCATCAACAATTAGCTCTCTAGCTAGCAAAACTACAAGTAGGCCTACTGGAACTTTGTAGATAAATTGTGATTCGATGTAAACACAAGGATGTCGTAGGACTTTAGAAACAACTGAAGGTATCCCATAATTAATGTGAAATCATCAAAGCTTCCTTAGTTAACTTGAGAAGTCACTAACATGGGTAGCCGACGATTGAACGGTAAATAAATGAGAAGCACATTATTTATGACCTCTAGTGGTCACAGTGAGTAACTACAGCATCAATACTGTCAAGTCAAAATAAATTACATTGTACTACTTCCGGTCATCGCTGTTAAAATAAAATCATAGGGAAAGTAGAGAGAAGGAGATCATGTGAGATAATCAGTCAGTTAATCTCTTTTTCATTATAACCCCCTCCTAAGACATATTTTAAACAGCGAGCCCTTCCTCACGTCATTTTAGTTTACATTAAAAATTCCTTCAAAATGTATATTTTTTGCTTCTTTTAAAGATCTTTTAAATGAATGTTATGTAAAATGTTTGTTATTTATAATTGTTTGCCTTTACTTATGATTTTATGTCTAGACTGTTTTCCGTTTGTTTATTATTGCTGTCCTTGTAAAACACTTTGTAGCTTGATTTTAAAAATTGTCCTATATATAGATGTTATTATTATTATTATTATTTTTTTTTTTGAATCTTGTGTGATCACATGTAAAATAAATACATATATTTTTAGTGTGTGATCGTATGTTCACAGAGGCCTGATTATCTGATACATTTTTTATTGTAATAAATAAATGAGCTTATACTATCCCTGATCCAGAAATACAATGTATACTTTCCCCAAATTATTATTATTAAATATTTGACCCTCTCTCAGTCAACTCAATTCTTTCATACATGACGTGTTGATGATCACAGACAGTAAAAACAGAGAACTTTTACAGTTAATTCAAAGCTCTTGTTAAAGATTGTTTAAGGATAATTGTCCTCAATAGTTAAATAAATCCAAATACTCACAGCTTAAGTACAAACACTGTTTGCTTTGTTAATGATAATGCCATATGTGCTTTATTTATATTATAATTACGCTATGTATGACACAATGATTTACTGCGTCATCAATCTGTCAAGGTAGATGTTTATACAAAGAACAACTTCCGACTATCACTATCAAAATAAAAGTTTTGCACTTTGACCACAGGGGGGCAGTGTGTACTCACGGTTATACTTTTATCAACTCTGTTAAGAATAACCTCCTCAAGCTAGAAACAAGAACAAGACTATCGAGGAAGAGGAATACATCATTTCATACTTTTACCTCAAATTAATGGAGGTTGAGGCATTTTATCTCCCTCTTGATCAACAAAGTTTCTGCCGCTAATTCTAAACATCTATGCAAAGCTCACAGGAAAGTTTGTGTCCTCCTGAACAATTCACCAAAACTAGGAAGCCGTTGTTCATGCTGATTAATTAACTTTACCGAATTATAACAAAAGACTTGAATCTTTTTCTTCTATCAAACAGTGAAAGTTTGTAAAGGAACATTATCACATCGCCTTACAGCTCCCTCTTGTTAACGCTAGCTGCACTTTATGAAGGTAATGTTTGACGGAGTGAACAACACAACGCTTTAATCTATGGCCAATTAAGTTATAAAATATCTGTTGTCCAAGATAAAAATGTATTTAATGTTCATTTGAATCAACATCATGTATTCTGTCCGTGTAGCTGTTTTGAAATGTGTTTCTTGTTCTACATTGGCGTATTCAGTATCGTGCGCCATCTAGTGGCCTCAATGAAGAACTACACCCGCAGAGTCAAGTTAGATACACGTAGCGAAGAGATACTTCCGTTAAACCCTTTCAAAATAAACCTTGTATTAAAACGGAGGGATATTCCATCCTGTTCATACTGTGACTGTAATCTATGGTCAGTTTGATGAATAAAATGACAAAGCATTGTAATAGATGATTCCCTCCTCGCCTCCTTAGCTTTTAGTTAAACTCTGCTGGGCTCGTCATCAACCGGAACCGGAACACGTAACATTTTTCATCACTGGGCGCCATCTAGTGGACAACCCGAAAGCTACAACAACATAAGGGGGGAAACATGATGGGAGTATGACGGCTGCCACACGGCTGATATCAAGGTTGACGCTGGTCACTGGTAAATATATGTTGTAAGATACATGGTGTTGTGTGAAGTGAGACGTTTAAGGACATGCCCTTTTCCCTTTTCAAGATGTTGCGTTCAAAGCCGTGTGTTTTTCTGCAATCTTCTTCAATTCACCAAATCAAAGCAGCTACCTACTGCAAGTAGCTTCTGATATCAAAAAGTTTGATCTCCAAAGTAAGCTGACAATGAATTCATTATTTTAGTGTAACCGTGATTCTATCAGTGATTTCTAAATCAGTACCTCGAGCAGATCGGACTGAATTAAGTTTGATGACTTGAAATGAGAGTGAAGGTGAAAGTGTAGCTGTCATTCTGGCTGTGTGTATGCTATCAATAAGACCTGCAACCATTTCAGAATGAAATGATCTGCCGTTGAATTGTGAAAATACTGAAAAAGGAAACATGTTTAAATGCCTCAGAGTTTAAATCTTTAAATGTCTGGTTTTGTCCGACTTAAGGTTCAAAACTGTAAAAAATGCAATACAGTGTGGATACAGTGAGTGACTGAAAGGATACATGTATTATGAGAATTGTGGCTTATTAATTGTCTTCTTTGACTGATGGAATAAACATTAAAGCTGTATTATGAATGATGAAGCATCACTTGTCCTCTTACATTTTCACATAGAAAAGTGGACTCAAGGTTTTTGAAGACAGAAGAAAGAAAGAAATGTGATTGGGCGCAGATGATTTGTGAATAACAATTGGTCATGTAGCCCTGAACTGTTGGGCTAATCAAACTGAAAATCAATCACATCAAGTCAGCTTCCTGTCCTGTGTGTTTTCTTGTCGTCCTTGATTGATATTTGTTTTTTCAGATACTTCCAGAGTGGATCTTCTGTCACACTCAGTCTTTCCTCTGCAGCGTTGTGTTTAAAACATTCTGTCACTCTGGTAACTTCATGCTACTCTTTTCCCTCCCAGGAGGAGGCAGTGGGATCGGACGGGCGGTATGTCAGCGTTTGGCCTCTGAGGGCGCCTCCGTGGTGGTGGCAGACATCAGCGAGGAGTCTGCCAACGAGACCATGGTGGGTCTGCAGAATGAGCTCAGAGGACAGGGTCACATGGCGGCTGTGGTGGATGTGTCATCAAAAGAGAGCGTGAAGAAGCTGGTCACCAGAATACAGGTGTGATACAGACAGGAAGACAAGCCAACACAACATGTGTTTACATTTCCATCATAATCAGCAACCTTTCTGTAGAAAAAGGTACTTTTCTCTCTGTGTGTTTTCATGCTGGAGGGGCTATTCCACGTGTTGTTTTTCTCTCCTTGTAAGTTATTGTTCTGTTCCTCTACACACTCATTACTTCCAGCCTCCCTCAGTGTGTGTGAACGCAGCAGGCATCACGCAGGACCACTTCCTGCTCAACATGGAGGAGGATCACTTTGACAGAGTCATCCAGGTCAACCTGAAGGTATGAAGCAAGTTCAGCGTGTAATCGAGTCTATCAGGTTAACGTCAGAGGATGACATCACAATCTAATAACTAGGGATGTGCCCGTTAGTCCACTTAAAGGTTGGAAGTCATCACCCTCACTAGTCGGCACCAGAATTACAAGTTACAAATGATTCATATTTTTAGATGTTGGCCCTCGATGCCGGTTCATTTGTGCTCAAATTGCAGCACTTCTTAAAGCACTCTTCTTCCATCACTGCTGTTGAGACATAACGTGGGTCGACTTTGTGAGAAGAATCAGAAAGAAAGAAATCAGTCTCTGTTGTCTTCAACAGGAAACAACCGAAGATTCAAGTTTCTCGTTGTTGCACTTGAAGAAAAGAATTCATAAAATGATTCTCTCACAAAACTTCTAAAAAACTGCACGAGTGAACGCAAACAGACACATTTCTACTCCGACTTTATCTGGAATTCTTTAGCCGGCAGCCCCCTGATCATTTTTCTGCATGAAGTCGGGTTAGCTGATGTGAGAACGCAGCAGGAAGTATTCAGGTAAATTCACTGTGAGGGAGCAAGGGGGGTGGTAACGTTTCTACCTCAGGACCCGTGCACAACCAGAGACTGTATGACCGCGATATGTGTGATCTCTGTGCACGTTATTAAACCGCTGCCTTAAGTTTTCTGTCCTCCAGTATGTACAAAAAAACTGTCATCATAGAGTTGGACTCTGTTGCTCTGTCCACCACCTCTGACTGCCTGAAAATAATGAAGACTTTCAGTAGTGCATGAGTGAAAATGTCTTTATTGAGGCTGAAGAACGTTTAGGATTGTTGTGTTTTGTCCACAGAGCTGAATGATTTTTGTTCTTATTTCAAACACTCTTTTCTCTGGTGCTGATTTACTGTGAAGAGATGAACTCACTCCTGCTCCTGCGTCTCTTCCAGGGCTCCTTCTTGATCACTCAGGCTGTGGCTCAGGCTCTGGTGGCCTGTGGAGCACCCAAAGGATCCATCATCACCGTGGGCAGCATCGTAGGAAAGGTGAGAGAGCTGCAGAGAGACGCTTTCTAGACGACAGTTTCACTTCTCTGTTGAATCTTTTAAGGTTTCTTTTCAAATGTATGAACATAAGTGTGTAAGGACCTGGTGTGTGAATGTGATCACTTACTTGTGATGGACTCTTTACTCAGCAGCCTCTACCATCAGTGTGTGAATGTGTAGGTGTGACACGTGTTGTAAAAGCCCTTTGAGTCGTCAGAAGACTAGAAAAGAAATATACAAGCTCAAGTCCATTTACCATTTATCCTGAAGTTCATGTGGCAGCGTAATGATTTCTCTTTATTTATTGAACAGTGATCATCCGTCCATCCATCCACCTTGTGCTCGTAGCCAATAAAGGGTTAAATGGTTCTTGGATCCATGTGTTTGAATGTTCACACCAGCTGGAGGTTCACTGGTTCAGCATTTTAAAGACATTCACTCACACTCATTACTTTTAGTGATCCTTTTTTACGACTTCTTTGATCGAATGTCGCCTCCACAAACTCTGAATTATTAATCAGTCGTCTTTAAATCGTCTACAAAAGGTCGGAGAAATGCACGGATTGAAAACAAGCTGGTGAGGATGGAAACAATCAAAACACCAAACATGACAGGAACCTCAAACATGTTCACACAACCACACAGGGTTAGAAACAAACACACACCTGAATCCTGATTCTCTGCACCTGTTCACCTGTCACTCCCCTTTCTAGCTGCGTGTGGCTGATTACCCATGATGCCCAGGTGCAAAGGTGACGTAGCAGCAGCAGCAATAATAACCAAACTCAGCACACACACTATAGCACACATCAAACTGGCTCCAACAAATGTTTTTATATCATCACAATGTAGATGTTACTGAACTGAGCGGCTAATTTAAATATCTTTGTTCAGACGTTTCAGAACATGTGAATAATCCGTCTATAAGATCAACAAAGTAAAGATCATAAAGTTTATTGGAATCAAACTAAATGTTCCCACAATGGTAGCTACAGCTGTGTAAGTGTTTCCATGAATGTTGAAGTGAAGAAACACACAGACATTTGGAGTGTGAGGGACTTTATTGAACAGATCATTTACAGTAATATTGGGGTTGTATCAAGTCAACTTTGGTTATATTCTTTAATAATTATATTTAATTATTAATAATATAAATAAAATATCATTAAACTATGTTTAATCTCGTTTTGGGGCACCAACCTGTAATCAGGTAAATATAACCAAAATATCACTCAAATCAGTCTCAAATTAGTTATTTACTTACTAATATTATTAATAATGAATAACTATATTTAATAAATTGAAGGCGTGAAATCCGTACACAAAGCCTTCGCACACAGCTTATATCACAATGTAAATACACCAGTAACCACAAACAACTGCTCTCTTAAATTATAACAGAATTTATTTAAACAAAGCAACACCAATAAAAATCAATGAACTTAATCAAACAAATAACTATTATAAACTAACCTAAGCAACAAACATTATCAAGCAAGGCTTGTAGAAGGGGTGTGTGTGTGTGTGTGTGTGTGTGTGTGTGTGTGTGTGTGTGTGTGTGTGTGTGTGTGTGTGTGTGTGTGTGTGTGTGTGTGTGTGTGTGTGTGTGTGTGTGTGAGAGAGAGGGGGGAGATGGTTTCGTACCCACGTGGTCGCCCTTCCGATGGCGCACACCTAACAAAGACCTAAATGTGGCCTTAATGTCTAAAAGAGACCGAGTTCGGCCCTACACGATCTGTGTCTCTGAGGCGTCTGGATGGCCGCGAGTGTATAGATCTCTGTGTGTGTGGGTGTGGCCTATGTGCGTAATGGCGCAGTGGTGGAGTTAGTCTCCAGACGTACGTTTACACAGGAACATGTGTCTGTTCGTAGAAGGGGGATAAAAGAGGATAAAAGAGGATAAAAGAGGATAAAAGAGGATAAAAGACAATAAAAGAGAAATGCGTGCCTGCCTTCTGTGTTTTAGTTCAATTCCTAACCTTCCATCAACAGGAAGCTCCTTACTCTATTTCAAAATAAAAGCAGGGCTAAATTCAAACAGTAGTTAAAGTACTCTCAGCTTAAGACAGTACAAATGTTTCAAAATAAAAGCCCAACAATTTATTTCAAACGTGCAAATTAAAAATGTGATTAATCATGATTAACTATTTAAATTTAGAAATTAATCGTGATTAAAAATTGTCATCGTTTGACATCTCTAATAAAAATGTTTCAAAATAAATCAAAAGAGGGATATCATAAAAATAAAAAAAACATTCTCCTCAGAGACAAGAATTATTATTTGCTTTGGTTTATTAGTAATAAAACAAAATGTACAAGCAGACTATTTACACAACTGGAAGATGAATCTTGAACTGATGATTTTATTTCACGTGTGTGATCATAGGGAGGCCTTTTAAAGACGTGGAAGGAACCAGATTGAATTATTATCTGTGTTTGGTACAAATTTAAGACAGTTCACCACTGAGATGAAACTCCACTCGTCTGTTTTTATTCTGGCTCATCTTGCAGAGAGTTACGGTGACTGCAGTGTGAGAGAGGTGGACTCCAGTAACCAGTGTTGGGCAAGTTACTTTAAAAAAGTAATTAGTTACAGTTACTAGTTACTTCTCCCAAAAAGTAACTAAAGTAGTTACTGAGTAACAAATTATAAAAGTAAATAGTTACTTTGGAAAGTAACTATTTCGTTACTTTCAAGTAAATTTTTAAATGCTCAAATGTGTCAAAGAATTTGGACCCCACCTCCACCCCTCTTTAACAGAACTTAAAATACATGTGCATGTTCAATTATATATGATAAATCTGAATATTATAATGAAATGGACACTTAATACAATCAATAATTAACAGAAACAGTGTACACAAATCTAAACTATTTTAATGTTGCTGTGGGACAAAGTGAGACTAGCCTCCAATCAAATGTCATGTATTATTGTAGATATTATAATTACTATGTTTATATAGTGGATCCGTAAAAATGACATAATAGATGTTTTGTCTGCTGTGGTAGACAAATATTCAAATTTCTCAAATGTCTGTTTGAGCTCGACATTCATTTGAGCATGTTGGGCGTCTATATCGTTCGCGAACGTCTTTCTACATGGCAGGCCGACCCTGCTCTGACCGGTATTTTGGCAACTAGTGCTCTGAATGACTCCGACTCAACCATCGATAATGGCAGCATATCCTCCACAACATACCTGGCTACCAGTTTGTTTAGCTCGGCCTGAGACAAAAGTGTGGTGGTGGGGCCGTAAAATCAAGCTTCGGTTGCTTAGGTTTTGTGGCACTGTCTCCTTCTCCTCGGGGTCTTCTTGGCCATAATTTCGTGGAAGCATGTAGCGTTGAAAGATGTTTCAATAAGTTTGAATTGCTCGACACCGACGTGGAGAGGCTTTTGACTCCAGGGCATAATGTGCATTTCACGATTACACTCGTTCCTTTAATTTCTTGGAAGGAAAAGTAATGGCTATACTTCCACTTAAAGAAGGCTACTGTTGGATTATTTGGGCTCGCCATTCCTGTTTCTCGTTGACTCATTTGTGTCGTTGTGTGTCCGACTAAGCATGCTTTCGAATTTGTGTAAACAACACCCGCCCAACTCTACCTCTGATTGGCTCACCATGAAATTTTTACTCTACCTCAGCCAATCGTCATCATTTATGCGGTTGTCTCGTGTCCGTACTCACCAAAGAGGAAGAACAGTAAGAAATATCTTTGCCGCTCGGCTTAGAGATCTAGTTGGTCTGATGAAAAAACAGCTTCAGTCATAGTAACGCACCGCATTTTTTGGCAGTAACGGTAACGGCGTTATAATGATGGGAAGAGTAATCAATTAGATTACTCGTTACTGAAAAAAGTAACGCCGTTAGTAACGCCGTTATTTATAACGCCGTTATTCCCATCACTGTTGTTTAGTAATGTGGACTAAGACCCCCCCCCCCCATGGCTTCTCCTTACGTAAACATTTTTCAGTGTTGAAGTGAAACAAGCTTCTCAAACACCCCAGAGTGACGCAGAAACACCCTTACCTTACCCTCACAACTAAAAGAACAATAAACCCACATTTTTTAGCTATTATGTGACTTAAATTGAAAACTTGGATTATTCACAAACAAAACCAATCTGATCCTTTTTAACAGAGTAGTTTGAGCGACTCTGTTCTCCCTCGGGGATCTTCACTGCAGAGTTAATTGGAAGCTCGCTAAGCTCTGCCTTTAAAGTTTACTCCCTAACTCTGATTATTCCTCGGCCTCAAAGCACAGAGCCAGCCCGAGTTTAACGGCAGGCGCAGAGAACGTCAAGCGAAACTTCAACAACATTTGGATTCTGGAGATGTTCCTCGGAGCTAGATCAAAAAGGACGGAGGATTTCTTTGTGGTCGGACCAGCAGGTTCTTCACAAGCGACAGCAGCAGTCAAAAAAACACAGCCTTTCATCAGGAGCCTTTTAGAGTTGTGTCTGTGTTGGTCCACTTCCTTGTTAGGACTCGTTGCATTCCAAGCAGCAAAGTATAAAATCCTGCAGTTCTTCGAGTGTCCACTAGAGGCTTGCTGCAGAAGCACAGGAAGTCACATACACACTCATTCTAAAAAGCCTGTTTTTACAGCAGAGGTTAACATTATTACAGCCTGGTTCTAAAAACAAATAGGTGTGATTAGCTCATGTCTCGATCGACACACACTGTACGGGGGGGATGAATGTTTTAATGACCTGATTGACAGGTGGTCGCGGTGTAACGGTTTGTCAGGAGTTTAAAACCCTCCTCAGCTCCAGCTCTCAGCCTGTTGTTAGGTTGACTGAAAGTTAGACTGAGACAGCATTTCCAGCACGGAGACCGCCATCGATGGGACTCCAGCGCCCCCCTGCAGGAACAGACGGGACCACCTCTTCAAGCGGACTCGGATCTGTACCTGGGTACGGTACGCTTGTGTCCACACTGATCAAATGAACTTGACTTTGGGGTTAAGCATACTCTGAACCAGGTCCAGGACCCTGAAGTGAGTCTCCCCCTTCATGATTTATATCTCTGCTTAAAAACAACTGAAGCAATAATTGATTATCAACAGCTGGTCTTCAGGGAAACAGATACAACAAAGTAATCGATTGCTTGTTGTAGCACTAAAAAAAAACAGCTTCTGATTGCTCTCCTCCAGATTGTGCTTTCA